GTTATTACAAGTGTTGCTGTGACCCCCTAGGAAAAGGTTATGCCCCGCCCTGTAGATCTTCTTCAATTTGGATCAGATCAGTGGTGGGTTGCAGGCAGTATGCCCTGGTATGGGTGTACCGGAGCCAGCTCTGTTTGGGGCACCGGCTTGCACACAAGCGCGTCCCCCAGCGCAGGGTGGGGAAAGGCTTTGTTGAAAGATCCGAAGCGCTGCAGTCCGTGTCCAGCAAACGACTGCGCGGCAGTGGGAAACTGCTGTGCAATGTTTACTTGCCATGTGCGCGGCCGCGCGGCCGCGCACCTTAGAGGGAACAGTGCCTAGAAGCCAAGAGGAACATATGTGCCACATTTCAAGTTTGTAGGCTTTACGGTTCTGGAGATTTTGTGATGTGGCGTGAGTGGTTTTCGTTTTTATATATATAGATTCAGTACACTAGAATCTTATACCAATTTACAAAACAGATATGGAACTACATTTCAGTAGCCACCAACACACCAGGATATCATGGAAGAAACTGATTTATATGTGAAAGTTGCTGTTGCTGCCTATATTAGGTAAAACCTACCTAATTCCAGCTGGTGGTATAATACATGCTTAATTAAGGAAATGGGAAAGGCCCAAACCAGGGCCAGTTATCGCTGCACAGGGTACACATAAGACATTGCAAAATGTTACTTCAGAGGCACAGGTTCTGATGCTGACACGCAATGTCAGCAGTTAACTTAAACTTCACACTCCCCAAACTTTGGCTCTCAGTAGCATACCGGATGTGTCTCTGGCGGATAAGCACACAAGCATGATGGATGAATTTAGCCAGGCCCAGTTTGAAGACCTGGGTTTGGAGACGACGCTCCAGGAAATCCTCAATTTTCAGGCCCAGGATGTAATCCAGTTTCATTTTGCCTTCATCCAGCACCCCAATTCTGACCAAACGGCGCAGCAAGGCATTGCCTGAGAGAAATTTGAGACCTCAGCAAACTGAATGGGTCTTTCTATATAATGTTAAAAGAGACAATGTTCAGATTAGCATATTTATGGATGCAGAATTGAAAAAGATACAACCATCACAGTTAACTGTCTATGCAAAGAAATACAAATTAAGCAATCCCAGGATATAGAAATGGTATGGGGACAAGAACAGTGTCGGGGTAGATTGTGGAAAGTATTATCAATAATTGTGTGTTTCCAACTGAACAGAGACCTTGCGATTATAAATCACACTTCAATATCAATGGCGCCTTTGTTCACAGAACATATTTAAATCCAATCCGACTGTTCTGTCAATTCTCAAACAAATTGACTCAAAAAATTGATACTACAGAATCCCTACCCATTTATTTCAGAAAGAGCCCAGTATCTTAGCAAGCTCTTACATAAGGCAAGTAATGTTTTCATTACTAACCCCATTCTCATTACTTAGGCTGGCACAGTACTAGCTTGGCCACTGTAGCCTATCTTTTTCTGGCTGGTATTTTCTTACCTTTCCTACCTTGCTAGTGAACTTCATAAGGCAAGACTCTTTTACACTTTAAAAAAAACCGATGAGGTATGCAAGCTAGAAAGGGTATAGTTTAAACTTGTCATAACTACTGTATTTTTCGGAGTATAAGACACACCTACCTTTTGGGGGGGGTGAAAACAAGAACAAAAATCTGCCTTTGCCTCCCAGCATCCATCCGGTATTCATCTGGCCTGTTCGCTGCGGCCCATTCATCACACCCCAATGGGCACAACCCATTCACCATTGCCGATCCCCGCCGCCTGGAACTGACCAAAAATGTGATGTGTGGAGGCCAAAATAGGCCAAAGGGTGGGGGCCAGCGGGTGGGCGGGACATTCGGTATATAAGACGCACCACACTTTTCACCCATTTTTTTGGGGGGGGAGTGCGTCTTATACTCTGAAAAGTACAGTAGGTCTGTTACAACTAAATTCAACTATCAGTGGTAAACTGATTGGCTCAAGTAATCCTTTTGGTATTTCCATCACACATTAACTCCTTCCCTGACCCCGTTTAACATGTTGTGGAAACCGGGCCTTTGTATAATCTTATAACACACACCACCTATTTTATTAATCAGATTAGTGACTTACAAAGCTGGTATGAGGAAAAAAAGTTAAATATATCAAGGTACTCAGCAGGCTTCTTCAAGTGAGTCATAGGTCCCAAAAGCAACAGTGCCAAAGCAGTATCAGTTTACCTTCAAAAAGGCACCGTTGATCTTTCTCATCCAGGATGAGCAGCTCTTGGGCAGCTTTGCAGATCTTTGCCAAAGTGAACTTCACTCGCCATACCTCACGCTTGTTCCGCAGCTCATATTCACCTAGTAAAGGAATTCTAAAGTTTAAAT